GCTGCGGCTTCAGTCCCGGTACCTGTGGTCTGCTGGGGACCGTCCCCAGCAGACCACAGGCAGGGGACTGAAGCGGCAGCAGCGGCGGTTCCCCGCGCTTCTGAGGCTTTGCTCTGGCAAAGCCTCAGAAGCGCGGGAATCCGCCCGGTGCCCCTGGTCTGCTGGAGACGGTCTCCAGCAGACCAGGGGCACCGGAGCAGCTTACGAACGGGGCTCTCTTGCCCCGGAGCTCGCAGGTAGCAATCCGCCACCTCGACCTCCGGGGCGAGAAAGCCCCATTCGTAAGTGCGGATCCGACATAAGTCGGATCCGCGTAAGTCGGGGACTGCCTGTAGTCCATTTCTTGCAACGCATATGCTAACCTTTGGGAACAGATGCCAATAAGCAGTCACAGAACATAGACTTTGTTATGCTGGCTGAGATTACTGGTTTCTCAGATTCAGTATTAAGTCTCCAGTAGTCAATAGCACTAAATGCTTCAAAGTAAGGTGCAAAATAATAGCATATTGGACAATTCTGGCATAGAGCAGCTGAAAGAGGCTAGAAAGATCGCTTTCTGAACTGTAAAGTTTTTATCCCTCTAGGTTGCAGAGAAAGTCTTCCAGACATGAAGCTTGCATGAACAGATAGTATATTTTCTCCCTGAGTTTTCAGACAGCTTGAAACATTTATCTCTGAATTTATTCATTGGGGTGTTGACTCTGAAGTATAGTGACACTTGAACTAATTTAATACTGACAATTATTTATGTTACCAGAAGCATGGAAAAATATTGAGTGTGAAATCCACGAATAGGGAAATTGTTACAGAGAAGGGGGAAAAAAAAAAAAAGACAAGAATGGTAAAGGAAGAAAAATAAAGGAGAGAAATAGCAGTAGTCCTGAAAGAAAACATTTTCCATGACTCATGCTTAAACTAACTTAATGATAATTAAGTTTAGGTACACCTGAAAGTTATATTTTATACTTGATCACCGTGCAAACACTCCCACATCAAATGTTGAATAAAGGATGCATGTAAGTTTTCACAGGGTGTCCCCTAAAGTTTCACACCAGCATTCAGGCCGTGACTATGAACCAGATTAAGTTGGATGCTCTTTTCATGCTATTTGCATTTCAAATTCCAACTCTGTGCTCTAAACTTCAATATTGCTTTATTAGCTTCCACTTAGATTGAATTTCCATTTTTTTTAAAATGCCTGTTTGGCTCAGAAAGGTCTACTAATTTGCCATTTAACCATGCTGTTTCTCCTTTAATCATGGCATGTGTTTATTCTACACTATAACAGACCTCTATATACACAAGAGTAACATTTAGTTATTCTTCTTCCATGAGTACTGATTTTAATCAAATTGTAGTTCTTCGTGATAGAAGTAGTTTTATTTTTTTAAATACAACTCCTGTGTTACTTGGTGTCAGCTGCCACAAACAGACAGGCTATTATGTAAGATACCATTTAGAAGCTCAGATTATTTTGCTAAGCCTAAACAGATTTTGAAATCTTACCAGTTTATACATTGGTGATTACTATTACAGGCAGTCCCCGGGTTACGTGGATCCAACTTATGTTGGATCCGTACTTACGAACGGGGCTTTTCTCGCCCCGGAGGACGCAGGCGGCGGGACCGCCCAGACGTGCTGCGGTCCCACCACCCGCGTCCTCCAGGGCGAGAAAAGCTGCTCCGCATCGGACCCAGGCAGTGGGACCGCCCAGACGTGCTGCGGTCCCGCAGGGTCCTCCGCAGCTTTGCTCCACATCTCCCTGGTCCGCGGCCCCCCCCCAGCAGACCAAGGAGACGCGGAGGATCCAGGCGGCGGGACCGCGGC